GACCTGGGGACAGGAAGGATGGCCACTTTCTTAATTCCTCCACCCTGCTATAAAATCACCTCCTTTGAGGTTCATGCCATCAGTTCTACCATCCTCTACTGAGGTCATCCTTTATGGCCAACTTCCTGTGTTCCCTGAGGACTTCGGCACCTGACTCAGTTTTCCTACCTCTTATCCTAGCAACATTCTGGTAACTTCAGTATCCCTGCCAACAAACTGTGCCTATTCCACCATTGTGTATTGGATGTGCGGGGGGCAGGTAGCTGTAACAACCAAGCTTCACCTCTTGTCCTGGACTACCTTCAACTCCAGTGAACTTCACTTCCACCCTTCCATGGCCACTCCCCACCCAGAATGCTCCACTGCTAAACCTTACACCCCAACATCCCACATTCTAACTGTAACGACAGCTTAGGGTTCTCTCTTTCTCTTGTCTCACCTCAATAAATGTTCCAATTGTATAAAGATTCCCAGTGCCAAGCCCCAAAGACCCGGGCAAGAGGAGCCCCCACCCCAAGTCTCATACTTTAGAGGGCCCCAGTCTAACCCTTCTCAGATGGTGCCTATTCCTCTAGGGTAAGGAGTCTGCAGGGCCAAGGGAACATGCCCACCAAAGCCAATGCTCACCCTCTCCATACCTGGACCAAACTCTGGATACAGAAGATCTCAGTTTTCCCTGTTGAAAGAGTCCTGAGCCTGCTTCTGGGGCCTGCATGGACTTTGTCCTCAGAGTCCTTTCTCTGGAGCATAGATTGAACTGCCAGTGACACACCGCTAAGCCCATGGGGTGGTCAAGGAGTGAGCTATGTGAGGGAGGATGGACCTTGCCTGTGCAGGCTACGGTGTACCCTTCACACTGTGGGGCGGAGCCTGGGGCAGGAAGAGAAGGAGTGTGTATCTAGGGCTGGCTCTTCCCATGTGACCTCATCTGGCACAGTCAGGATTAGGACTGAGTCCTAATAAAGGAATCTTGAAAACCGACCTGGCTGGATTTCAGAACTGCTGTGGACTCCACGTACGTCCTGTTTCCCCTTTTTGACCAGGGGTGTCTTCAGCAGTTATCTTGTGCCTAACCTTCTCCGTGTGTGTTGGATATGTGTATGTGTAGGGGTAGGCAGATTCTCTTTAGTTCATAGATCTTCAGATTAAGAGGAACTGTACTGGAGCTGCCGTACTTAAAGGAACTACACCTGACAAGCCTCTTGCTGATGCTATAAATGTGAAGGTTTGGGGGAGGCTTTAGGAGGGAGTTAGTGTATTTTCCATGTAGAAGAAATGTAAATAATGTGACCAGAGTGTTGACTATGGTAGTTTAAAATATATCCACAATTCTTTGATACTCCTTTCAAAAGGAGGAGCCTAATTTCTCTTCCCTTGAGGGTGGACTGGTCTTAGTAATTCGCTTCTAACAAATAGAATAAGGCAGGAATGACAGTGTGATTTCTGAGGCTGGATCATATAAGACATTGTGGCTTCCATCTCTCTCTCAGATCACCTGCTGTGGGAGAAGCCAGGGGCCATGTCATAAGGACGCTCAAGCAGCTGCCCTATGGAAAAAGCCACATGGTGAGGAACGGAGGCCTCTTGCTGAGAGCCATGTGAGGGAGCCACCTTGGAAGCAGATCCTTTAGCACAGTCAACCCCCTTCAGATGACTGTAGCCCAACTAATATATTGACTACAATCTCATGGGAGGCCCTAAGTGAGAACTACCCAGCTAAGCTTAATTTTTGACCCACGGGAAGTTTCGGATAATAAAATGCTTGTTGTTTTAAGCTATTAAGTTTTGGGGTGATTGGTGACACAATAATGGCAACTAATATTATACTTATTCGGTCTTGACCTCACTTGACCACTCCTCAGGATGTGACACTGTTCAGCACTCCCTCTTCCACCCACTGCTTTCCCACATTGGCTTCCAGGAAAGTACTTCCACTTGAGTTTTCTTTTAGCCTCCTAGCCAGTCTTGTCAGTTTTCTTCATTAGCTCCTCTGCTACTTGCCCCTGAAACAACCAATTCTCCTAAGACTTCTATCTTTATTCCTATCACATTGCTTATTGACTTTAATCACACCCATGATTAGTCATAATTAAAACTAAAATTTTCATGTCAGTGTCTCCTCTCCAGACCTGTCTCCTAGGCTTCTGCTTATAGGACAACCGCTTATAGGACAACTCTATTTAGAGTTGGTGGGCCCTGGCTCCTCATACTTATTTGAAATTGAATCATCCTCTTTATCTTCACACCTGTCCCTCTTCCCATAGCCCTTCCAACAATGAGGGAGACCGCTGTCCTCCCAGCTGCTCAAGCCAAAAATGTTGCTCCCAGCCACCCTAGACTCCTCCTTACTTGCTGCTTTCAGGACCTTAGTCATTCGACTCCAGCCAATATCTTTAGACTCATATTGCAAATTTTTTTTTTTCGGTATGCGGACCTCTCACTGCTGTGGCCTCTCCCGTTGCGGAGCACAGGCTCCGGACGCGCAGGCTCAGCGGCCATGACTCACGGGCCTAGCCGCTCCGCGGCATGTGGGATCTTCCTGGACCGGGTCACGAACCCGTGTCCCCTGCATCGGCAGGCGGACTGTCAACCACTGTGCCACCAGGGAAGCCCCATCTTGCAAATTTTTCTACAGGTTTTTCCAGCTTTACTTAATTACTCGTGGTTTCCAAGCGATTCTTGCCACTTCAAGCCCCTGTATGGCTTTGCACATGCCTCTTTCTAGAATTTTGCTTTTCCATCCTTGATCTGTTGGCTTTCCAATTTTGATAAGTCCTACTTTCAAACTTTAGTGCAAGCGTCTCCTCAGTCTAACTGTGCCCACAGTTCTCTGTGCTTATGTTTAGCATCGTCCTTGCAACTCCTGAATTCTCCATCCTACTTTGTAGGGCAATTCTCCATGGTATTTCTACATGTCTTGTGACAGCTTTTATCTCAAACTATCTTCTTAAGAATGTTCGCATAGCAAACAGGCTTGGGAGACAGGGGTAGTAACTCCCTCTGGGACAGGAGGCAGAGGGCAGATTTTATTTCCAGAGAAGTATAATAATGTATGTCTCTGGGGCAAAGACTGGGCAGGTTAGCAGCTCCTGATAAGGCAGGAGGTTTTCTGAGCTTAGGATTCCTCAGCTGTGACGCTAATGCATGGTGTGCAGTTTCTACCTAGGGTGCTCTGCATCACCCCTGTGGAACACAGAGGGCAAGGGGAACTGATGTGAACATGAAGCTTATAGCTGCCTGCTGAGCCATACATAATAAAGTCCTTTGTCTGACCTTCAAGTTTCATGTCTTCTGCCAGCATCTATGAACCTATGAAACTGTGGCAGGCTAACTTGCTAGCTTGCACATAGGGAAAATCTTGGACTCTTCCCAATTCTTGACACCTCTCCACATGCTTGACTGTAAGTGCCTTGAGAGCAAGAGCTGTGTCTGAATGGACTTTGCTTCCCTTGTGGGTGACACAAGGTAGTTGCTTTATAAGCGGTGGCTGCTACTAATGATGTTTCGGTCTAAAGGGCTTTGGAGGTAAGCACTCAGATATATTTACTGAATCCAACTTTGAAATAAATTGCCATGATTCTGCTGCTGGTTATTAGATATTGTGTACATTCCTTGGAGTTGTAGAGGGTGAAGGCTCAGATCTGTGTTCTGTGGCACAGTGAAATTCTCTGGGGGTTAAAAATGCTAGATAGTTCACAGGGTGTTAAGCCCTACTGCAGGTAATGAAGGTGGCTGAGCAGAGTCTAGGTTTTTCTGGGAGGTGGTATATTATGCTGCAGTTGTGATGGGATGGCATTCTCTGCCATTAGCCTCACAGTAGCATCAGACATGGCCAGAGCAGACCAGTCCCCTGTGGAACCAGACTGATTTCAGACCAATCTGTCTGAGCTTGAATGAAGGAATTTATCAGTGCTTCTGGTGCTTGAACTTTTAAGAGCAAAGGCTCTTCCCTTCTTCTAACCCTTTGCAATGACTAATCCCAACCATGACTAGGCAAGATTGCTGGCTGGGTTTGCTCGTGGGAGGGAAATCCACCAGGCTGCAGCTTTAATCCGGCTTTGCATTGTGGAAGCCTGTCTAGCTATCCTTTTTTCCTGGTTTAGGAGATGGAACCTTGTCAGCATTTGAGCTGAGGTGGCTTTCAGAGCCAGAGTCAGGGGTCAAAAGGCTTTGCGCATAGTCTATGGCCAAATGGTTATTAAAGACCACTTCATCCCATTTAAACCTATAAATAAAGAAACTGGGGTACAAAGGGGATAAATTGCTGATAATTGGCGATCGATTCCGGAGCCTAAATTGACTCTATTTCCATCTCAGTAGACGCCTCACTTTTTCTTATTCCCTTGGCTCCCTCACTCTTCCTGCATACCCAGGGAACTTGAGTGCAGCATTCTAATGCTTGGTCAGCATGATTCCTAAATTTTCTAGCAGGCTTGACTCACTAAGCTCCAGTTCCCTGAGTGTGTAAAGCAGTCCCACCTCTAAGCGAGACGGAGGCGTCAGAAAAGGAACCCTAGGGCGTGAGCCGGGGAAGGGGGGCGTGCGGGGCAAGGCGGGGCACCCTGAGACGTGCTCGTCTGTTCAGGGAGCGGCAACCCAAGAGAGACTCTCAGGTCAAGTCCCGCCCTGCATGGCGATTACACGGTGGTGGGAGGCGGACGAAGGAGGGAGTGCGCAAGGGGCGGGAGGTGCGTCTCTGTGCCCCACTCGTTTCTCCCTGGGCCAGGAGAGAGAGACAGTCTTTCAGAAGCGCACGCTGCACTTGCTCAGTGTAGAAGGGGTAACGCTCAGCTGACTCCCTCCTAGACTTGGGGATTGGCTCTGCAGGGTGTGCGAAACTCTCCGAAGGGAGTTGGAGAGAAGCACTTGACCCGGGGTGCGCGGCGGCGCGCTCAGCCGCGCCCAGTCGCGCCGAGCCCCGCGCAGGCACGCGCCTGAAGCCCCGCCCCGCCCGTGACGAGCGCGCGCGGGGCCTCTGCCCCATCCCTCGCCCGCGCGTTCCCCTCCACGCTGCCTCCGCCGTTCCCCGCCCCCTCGCCTCAGGGGCTGCCCTCGTAGCTGCCTGACTTGAGGTCCGGCAGCTTCTGCTTTTCCTGCCCCTGCCGAGGGACTGAGGGAGCTCACCCCGTGGGCAGCGGTGCTCTCGGAACACGTGGCCGTTTCGGAGCAGGTTGGAGTGAGCAGCGGGCGGCGCTGCAGGGACAGGCGCGGTGGGCAGCCCCAGGGGCAGCGGCAGGGTCCTGGCGGGGGGAGGACAGGGTTGCGGCGGGCGGAACGGTGTCTCCTTCACTTCGCCCTCCAGCCGCGGCAGCTGCAGCGGGACGCAGAGCTAGCCGAGCGGCCTCAGCTGCTAGCGGAGCGGCAGCGGTGCCTCCCCCTCCCCCCCGGAGACCAGCAGGTACCGCCGCGCACGCCTCACTCGGACCTTGGGGCCTAGGCCCCGGCGGCCAAGCAGGACGCCTGAGCCGGACTCGGGGTCGGCCCCGACTCCCTAAGATGGCCGCGCTGCCCTGCGGCCCCTCTCCCCTCTGTCTGAGACCCCCTTCTGGTCCCTTGATTCGCCTCTGAGCCCCGCTGACCGCACTTCTTGTCCCTCCCTCAGATCACCTCTCCTCGCGGCCTCGCCATGGCGACCTCCGGACAGACCTGCCCGCGGCGTAAGTAGAGCGATCTCTGCGGGATGGGGCGGCGGTGTCTGGGCAGCCGAAGCCTCCCGACCAGAAAACCGCAGCTTCTTTCCCCCTCTGTCTTCAAGGGCTTGGAAGTTCGCCCCTTTCGGTAGCCACTCCACCGTCTGACTTCCCTGGCTTTGCGGAGGAGGGGCTGGGTGGTTGGATCTCGGATAGGGGGACTGACTAGGCCTGGGGAGCTGGTCTGTGGACGCATTCACGTTCAGCTTTGACGAACTGAGAAGCAGAAAGTTATTAATTATCGGGTTCAGCTTTTGCAGGATTGGATCGGTCACGTTTTTAGAGGAAGTAGTAACCCCCCGTGTGAGGGCGCAAGGTCATTCATTACATGTGCTCCTAAGGGCGTGGACGTGCTATGTAGGATGAATGAGCTGGTGTAACGACCTCAGATTGCTTGCCCTTAAGCCTCACAGCGTGGGCCGAGGACTTGAGTGTCATACTAATATGTTTAAAGTGCATTTGATATTTAGTTGATGTAGGCGCTTGAGTGAAACATAAATGGCTGTATTTTTTTTTTATGTTTCAATATTTAAGTTTCAGAAGTATGACCTATCTTTCTCTTTCTACTTCGGAATATTGGTTTTGATCTCCGTGAGGATACTAAAGGTTGAATAGGGGGGAGAGGGACTTGTCTTAGTTTTTAATCTTATCTCATTTGGTTAAATCAGCACATTCCAGTGAATTTTGGCAGGTATATCTGTATGTACAGATATATACGTGTGTATGTGTTTGATTCTTTGTACTAGTCTCATCCTAGGAAGTGAGGCTACAGGCACTGTGTAAATTTAGGAATAGAAAATATTTTTATATATTTTGGAGGGAATTTCCCAAGTTTGTATAAACACTTAACTGTGATTGTCTATTTTAGAAATAAGCCTTTGGTGCTGATACCTCCTTCATGGATCATACTAGACTACAGTGTTATTATAGATTCTAGTGGTATCAAAACTAAGTTGGACTGCTTGGATTGAAAGGTAGCAGTGGGCCATAAGCTAGCTCTTGGACAGACTGTGTGGGAGAACAGGGACGTTAACACTGGAATGTTTCTTCCCACCAGCAATGTGTATTCCTCCATCATATGCTGACCTTGGCAAAGCTGCCAGAGATATATTCAACAAAGGATTTGGTAAGAACTGTTTTAAAAATTTTAGATCTGAAGTGAAAATGTGTGTTTGGACTGCTTAGTGAATTAGTAATTTCTTCAGATTGTAAATATCTTGCTGCAGTAATTCTTCTGTTAGCTACATTTAAGATAACATTTCTTTTAAAAGAGTACTGTAACAATCCACATTTCCCTCCATCCCACATTTCCTCCCTCCATCCCAGTTTCCTCCTTTTTTTCATACTTTAGTTCAGGGAATTTACCTTTAAGAAAAAAAACAATTGTGCTTTCATTTCCTTCGGATATAGTTTAGGCCTTGGTTGACTAGAATTACCATGTTTTACTGTTTTTGCTTTTATGGTGGTGACTCATAAACGGTTATGGGTTTCTGCAAATAAATTTGGGTTTTGTTAAAGATTTTGTTCCACACCCCACCCTCCCTATCCTTTAGATTATTTCCCCAGTTGTTCAGATTATTAATTCCAAAGCGAGGTATGCCTTTGAGATAAATGTTCTAAATCCCTGTATCATAATAAACTATTGACTATTCTGATCTTTAATTTGAATTGATTTTCTGATCTGATGTTTAGGTTTGAAAAGCATGTTTTAATAAATGTTTTGATAAGATGATTTGGAAGCTGTTTTTGAGGGTGGGTGCCAAATACACACCAACATACTAGGAAAGCTTCATAGAGATGTTCTGTCCTTTACATGTTAGTTTACATAGAATAATTTAATTTGTTTTCATTTAAATATTGTATATCAACACACATTTTTATCCCCCTCTGAATATGTGAAATGTTTCTGGTTTTTGTTTTTTTAAATGTAGTCAGCTGTTGGTATGCATCTTTTATACAAAAAGATCATTTTGTTCTTTTTTGCTCTCTACTTGAAGGTTTTGGGTTGGTGAAACTGGATGTGAAAACAAAGTCATGCAGTGGCGTGGTGAGTGTTAGTTATTTGATAAGTTCTGACGAGCCTTTATACAATTTTTCAACCCATAAAATAGTCATAACTGAAAGATGTCTACCCATTTTATCTTAAAGAAGGGGCAAAAGATAATTTCGTTTTAAGGGAATTTTATCTTGATTATTTTGGCTTTGGATATGATTTCTGATTTTCATGTGGTCTTTTGCCATATTACTTTGTATGCACGAGGAACTCGGGAAAGACACTGGTCATGTGGGATTCTGTTTACTCAGTAAGGTTGCAAGCTTAAAGGCAGGGAACCTGTTATACTTTTTTGTAACACCTTCTTTTAATGCCTTTGGAAAACATTAAGAGTTCTGGGCATAAAAATATTCAGTAACTTAATTTGAGTGTACTAATCGTTTATGTAATGGTCATATTCTAGCAGCCCGCCTTGGGGAAGATTTCCACTTGTATTTTGTGAATTTAGAGAGTCCTAAATTTGAGTATTTTTAAAGAGGTTACTATTTTGATATTTGGATGTCTTGATCTTGCCTAACAAACTCCCTCAAAGAGAGTAAAGTAAAATTTAATTTTGTGTAATTTTTTTCTTCTAAAAGTTTTTGTTTGGGGATTGTTTTGGGGATGGGTATAGTGTGTGCATATTGAATATTATTGGTTATTTTGATAAATTCTTCCTACAGTTGTTAACTCCCTTAGTGCATATAACTGGTGTTTATTTAAATTAATCATTTTGTAGTTTCTCAATGCCTAGACTTGGATTTCTGGGGTTTTATATTGGTCGCATCTGTTTTTTGGTTTCTTTGGTCTGAAAGGAAGCCTGAGTATTTAGTGTGGTTGAGTGACTTACTTGCTCAAGATAACAGGTTACAGAGCAGTGACTTAGTGTTTGTTTTGTGTTCCCTCTCTTAACCTATTGCCCCTTATAAACCACTTGCTGTGTATTTGCTGAAACACAAAAGGCCTTCTAAAAGTAGAAGACTCAATTCTTGTGTTTAAAAAGCTTGCTTGCTGGCTGGAGAGACAAAATAAACTTTAAAGTAGGGAACAGTCAGAGCAGTATATGTAGTACTAGATTGTTTGATAAATCAAAATCTTTGTTGGAAAGGAAAGGCTTATTGTGGATAGGAATTTTATAAAATTAAGCTTAAGAACATGAAGGATATATAAGAGCTTGATTAGATATAGTATGTTTTAATTTGCATTTAATGTATGTAATTCAAGAACATGGTACTGATCTTGTAATATGTCCCTGGCCCCAAATAGTCGCAGTCGCATTTCTCACCTGAACTGCAACGATGTCTGGGCCACTGCAGAAGGTAGAAGCCTAAATGTCTTGGTGCGGAGTGAAAGGGAGGGTATAAGCTCCACCAGTGGTATCATCTGACCCAATTCTGGTCCCAGATCACAGTGTGATCTTCTTGGTTTTGTGTCTTGAGGACTCCTTGGCATGTACTTGGCGTGTATATAAGCTGGCTCAGCCTGTGGGCTGATGGGTGGCAGTGGGTGGGGCCTTAAGAATCATTAATCATTGTCACTCAGGACTAAAAATAGCTACTCATACACATTTGCATTTCAATTATCTGTTAGAACAGGCTCCATATATATTATATTGTTTTAGTAATGCATTCCTGTTGTGTAGAGCATGTGAAAATGTGCAAAGCTTTCAAAGTCTTAGTCCAATTTAATCCTCCAGAAGTAAGTTTTGTTATTACAGTTGAGGTAACTGAGACCCAGAGAAGTGTCTTCCTCAGTGTTATCATTTAGTAAATGCCAGCCAGAACTGGATGTCAGGACTCCTAATTTCATATCCAGTGTTCTTCCCTAACACAATTTGGTGCTTTTTAGTATGGGCATGAGTGCCAAGCTTTGACTTGAAATTTCTGTTACTGAAAGCATCTAATTTCAGGAGATTGTATATAAGACCTAAAGAATTGAGTCTGTTTCACGGCAGAGCGATAGTTACACAAATGCTCTGTTTTCTAAGTGAAGGATGATTGGTCTTTTCTCCTTTTGATAGAGTTTTTGGTATTTCCTCATTCTGCAGGTATCACAATTTCAGGTCGAAGGCTTTTCTTTATTAGTTCAGATCAGCCATCTTTAAACTTGGCTTTCCAATGGCCTTAAGAGTATAACCATCATTAGCAGTCAGATCAGAACCCTCAAAGGGCATTTTTAACATTTTATCTTGGAAGATTTCAGTTGCTTGCCTGTATACTAAGCTCTGAAAGGTTAGATTTCTGGATTATCTGTAGCAGATTTTGAATTTCAGATAAGCCCTCTCCATATTATGCCTTCCTTTTCAGTTGGTGTGCAATTAGGGATTGGCAAGTTATTTATATTTGCTACAAACATAAGATTATATAGTACACTTCAAATTGATCACTGCATAGGTTGTTTTTTCTACTAATATCATCTGTTGTACAGAGTATAGTTTATATTATGCATGATATAAACCAGTTATAGAGTAAATCTCCTATAATTTCCCTCCCCCCCCCTTTTTTTTTTAATGAGAATGTAAAGATGGTTGGGAAGGCATTAAACCTGATGAAGACTCTTTATGTCAGAAACAGAATATTGAGGTTACCAAAGAATTAAAAAAAAAATCTTTTGTTTGTGGCATAGATTCTTAGAGTGGGGTGCTTTCCTTTTAAGGATTTTCAGGAACCATTTCATAGTAAATTGTGTATAAACTCAGATTTTAATGAAGGGGGTCTGTGATTAGCCATACTGACCTATTTCGTGTCTCATTCAATATCAGGCAGATTGGAAGCAGTACTAAAACATCCACCCTCCCCCACTGATTTTTTTTTGAATCCCAAATAAAATCACCTTAGCAGAAGTTTCCTTAAAAGTTGTATAGTTTGTTGTTCACTTGAGAATCAGATACAAGTAAATTTTGATCCATTGGTTGGAGATGTCAGCAGTAGTAAGATGTAGTCAGTAACTTACAGGCTAATTTGTCACTCTTGTATATACTCAGTAGCAGAGGGTAGGAGTGTTTGGGAAGCTAGAAAAAAGAGGATTAGTGAAATTATTGTGTTTCAGTGGCGTTTGTGTGTGTGTGTGTGTGTGTGTGTAAATTAGGAAGTGGATTCTTCTAGGCTTACGAGAAAGTTCCTGAAGTTTGTCTTGTCTTCTTAGGAATTCTCAACATCTGGTTCATCTAATACAGACACTGGTAAAGTTACCGGGACCTTGGAGACCAAATATAAATGGTGTGAGTATGGTCTGACTTTCACAGAAAAGTGGAACACTGATAATACTCTGGGAACAGAAATCGCTATTGAAGACCAGGTAACATTTGAAAATGTGCTGTAGTATTAAGTATTTTATTTTGTATTTCAAAAAAGAAATAAAGCTGAAAACAAATTCTTTTTCTCTCAAAATAGATTTGTCAAGGTTTGAAACTGACATTTGATACCACCTTTTCACCAAACACGGGGTAAGCATGGCATTTTTGTCTGCTTTAAATTGAAAAGCATTCTTCTTTGGTATATTTAAGAAAGGTGCACATTCAGGTGCCTTGAGGTGGTGAATTTCTGTTTCTGCCTTTGGAGCATGAGCAGTATGGTTGTTGACTTGCCTTCAAATATTTGCCTCTTATTGTGACACTAACTTGGGTACCTAACATGTTTTTTATAGGCTTTTGTGACTGATAACCAATTCTGCAAAGCAGTCTTCCTATGGTGGTGGTGGTCCAGTCGCCCCTTGTGCCTTTTAGTTCATTGAGCCATATATTTTTTTTTACCTCTTATGATTATCTTGCTACCTCTTATACAGGCATACCTTGGAGATATTGCAGGTTTGGTTCCAAACCACTGCAATAAAGTGAATATTGTAAAAAAGCGACTCATACGGATTTTTTGGTTTCCCAGTGCATATAAAAGTTATGTTTACACTATACTGTTGTCTGTTAAGTGTGCAGTAGCATTATGTTGGGGGAAAAAACAACGTACATACCTTAATTAAAAAATACTTTATTTCTAAAATATACCAACGATCATCTGAGCCTTCACCAAGTCGTAGTAGTAACATCAGAAGATCAGTGACCACAGATCACTGTAACAAATATAATAATAATAATAAAGTTTGAAATATTATGAGAACTACTAAAATGTGACAACAGCAACACAAAGTGAACAAATGCTGTTGGAAAAAAACACCCAAACAGATTTGCTTGGTGCAGGATTGCTACAAACCCTCAATTGCTACAAATCCTGCTACAAACAGGTGCGGGGGGAGGGAAACACAGTAAAGTGAACTGCAGTAAAACAATGAAGTGTGCCTGTACTCACCAGTTACAGTGAGGTTCATTTAAATCTGTTTTGTGCCCTCTATGCAGAAGTTATGTCTGTAAATCTTTCCCACTGACATCAGTTTTAAGACAGTTTGTTCTTTTTCCAGAAAGAAAAGTGGTAAAATCAAGTCTTCTTACAAGAGGGAATGTATAAACCTTGGTTGTGATGTTGACTTTGATTTTGCTGGACCTGCAATCCACGGTTCAGCAGTCTTTGGTTATGAGGGCTGGCTTGCTGGGTACCAGATGACCTTTGACAGTGCAAAATCAAAGCTGACAAGAAATAACTTTGCAGTGGGCTACAGGACTGGGGACTTCCAGCTACACACTAATGTGTGAGTATTTCTTTTGTGGGATATTATGATGTAGGACCTCAAAGTGGTATTGATGTCTCCTGTCATTTCCTGTGAGTCTAAGTACAACCTAAAGGAATTCTCTTAACATAAAAAGATCATCCTTGGGCATTTCTAGAATGCCCTTCAGAAGTGTACAGTAAAAATCATTAGTCTGAGTTTTGGTGCTGAGAGAGTAAATGTTCATTTCACATGAGGCTTGATGTGCTTTGGATTTTTAGAAGAGGCTAAGATGGGAGTTCCTTGGTGGTTTAGTGGTTAGGATTTGGAACTTTCACTGCCGTGGCCCGGGTTCTGTCCCCGGTCAGGGAACTGAGATTCCACAAGCTGCATGGTATGGCCAAAAAAAAAAAGGCTAAGACATTGTCAAACTCTATGTGCATTCATTTGACTTCATTGTTTGTGATGTGTGAGGTGCTCATTTGATAGGATTACCTAAAATGTATAGAGTTTTTACCTAACCCAAATTAAATGTATATGTAGCAAGGACTTAAAAAGAATTTTTTCCCTTATAAAAATGATGCATTGGTATATAACAGAAGTACAAAGAAGAAAACAAAAATGTTTCATAATCCCACCGTCTAGACATATAATTTTTGTTAATTGTTAATGCTTCGGTGTTTCATCTTTTTATATGTGTGTATATAAAATACATACCAAAAAGGCTGTTTTTAACCTTCTCCCCCCACCTTAATACATTTTGATCATTTTCCTATAGCATTATGTATTCTTAGTGATGGTTAGTGTCTGCATGATAATTTTTGTAGATATACCATGATTGATTTGACCAATCCCTGTTTTTGGACATAAGTTGGGAAAAGTCCTTTGATGACATTAAAAAAATTTTTTTTATTTATTTAGTTTTGGCTGTGTTGGGTCTTCGTTGCTGTGCGTGGGCTTTCTCTAATTGCGGTGAGCGGGGGCTGCTCTTCGTTTCAGTGCGCGAGCTTCTCATCACGGTGGCTTCTCCTTTTGCGGCGCACAGGCTCTAGGTGTGTGGGCTCTAGAGTGCAGGCTCAGTAGTTGTGGCGTATGGGCTTGGTTGCTCCGCAGCATGTGGGATCTTCCTGGACCAGGGCTCGAACCCACGTCCCTTGCATTGGCAGATGGATTCTTAACCACTGCGCCACCAGGGAAGCCCCGAAAAGACCTTTTAAAACTAAAGTTTTCAGTGGAACACTAGAGACCCATGTAAGCAATGGCTTTTATTTAAATGTAATGCTACAGTATCAGCCTTGTGCCTTAGACATTATTACATTGTCTAGTCTAGGTTGACTAATTTAAAATATCTTATAGCAATGATGGGACAGAATTTGGAGGATCAATTTATCAGAAAGTATGTGAAGATCTTGACACTTCAGTAAACCTTGCTTGGACATCAGGAACCAACTGTACTCGCTTTGGCATTGCAGCTAAATATCAGTTGGATCCCACTGCTTCCATTTCTGTGAGTACTGCTGTGGGCTTAGAATGGGATTTTGGTTGTGGGACTTAATCTTTGGGTATATTGGATTGTGTTGAATATTTGAATTGTGGTTCACACAATTCCCAGTTTACACACAGATTGGGACTAGAACTCGGGAATGCTGCTTTTTTTTGTTGAGACAGAGATGTTTGCTATCCAGGCCACAGGAGTTTGTTTAAATTAACTTCAAAGGTTGTTCAAGTAGTGTAGATAATAACTATGAGGGCCAAGCCTGTCCAAGCCCAGGGAAGCCAGTATTTTGGGCCCTGGGCAGTTCTCATTCTGGTTGGAAGGTAATAGTACTTTGTTACTTTGTGTTTGTCTTTAATGGTTTACAAAATATCTTCAGATTTGATCTGAGCAGCCAGTGGTACACATGCTGTTTTGCAAGTGAAGAAACCAAAGCTTGGAGAGAGGAATGACGTAGACCACAGTAGGGCCAGGACTGGACTTGCATGTCTTTTGATTTCCCTTCTGTCTAGGGTGACTAGGTAGCTCATCCTGCTTTGCCTGGGACTATCCCAACTTTAGCACTGAAAGTCCTGCATCCCAGGAACTCCCTCCCCTCTATCGTGGGTTGGTTGGGTTGCATGGCCACCCTAGTCCTGTCCTTATACTCTTTCTGCTATTTCTTCCTTCAGTCATAGTGGATTGTGGTAGGAGGGAGTACAGTGTCTGAGGGTATAGAGCGCTGGCTCCAGTTTCAGGCAGATCAGCAGCTCTTCCTGTGTGTTAGTTGCTTACAGGTCAGGTACCGTATGTACTAGAATGAAAGAGTTAAACCTTCCGTGAGAGTTATTTCTGTTACATAAAGTCATCTTCATTCCTGAGGACGATATGTTTTGATAATTTAGGCAGTTAAGTTTTAGCCCCATTCTTGTTTTAGCTTAGCAGAGTTGTAATCAGAGAGAATGAGAAGCACCCGGAATGCTTTTCCTGTTGGCAAGGCAGTGATTCATGTATTTTTCCCTTCTCTATTTCTGACTACACTGTAGCAGTAAAATCCTCAGGATTCACACAGCACAGTGTGCTGTGGTAGCTACATTGCTATTCTCTTCAAATATATGTCTATGGCACCATCACAGGTTTAATGCCAGCAGAAGATGCAGCTCTCTCACAGTCTAAAATGGGAAGGCAGCTTGGGACCTGTGTGCCAGTGAGTGACTTCTGGGGATTAGTTTGGAAAACTATAGAATATTTAGCATGGTCCACCTAAGCAGTGCTGCTGTTACCCTAATCAAGCATTACCCCGGAAGCATTGCATAATGCTCCATTAGTTTCATGGTTGACTCCTAAAATAGTAGGAGCTATTTTATTGTTTGGGGCTCTTAATTTGTTTGGCAAAAGATGGTTACTAGTGGGGCATTTCTTCCTTAGACAAATAACTCACATGGTCATTGGTGGCTCATGAAGACTTGGCTGTAGTGCCAAGTGAATACAAGTTTTGTTTCTGTGACTTTTGCCTGTATAGTTGGATCATTTCTCTCTCAATTGGGCTGTTTTGATATATATTACAAAAGAGTGTAGACATCGAATCATTTCCAAGTCTGTTTTTTTTTTTTTTGCAGTACGCGGGCCTCTCACTGTTGTGGCCTCTCCCGTTATGGAGCACAGGCTCCGGACGCGCAGGCTCACGGGCCCAGCCGCTCCGCGGCATGTGGGATCTTCCTGGACCGGGGCACGAACCCGTTTCCCCCATATCGGCAGGCAGACTCTCAACCACTGCGCCACCAGGGAAGCCCCCAAGTCTGTTTTGATCCCAGAGGCTGTTTGTTACCTTTTTATTACCATAGCACTCAAAATGCTGAAGAGCAAAGTTACCTGACTAGGCAACCTAGGCCATGGAGGGCAGGGTGAGATGCCCCCATTTAGAGCCTTAGGCCTCTGGTATGGCTTAAGTGATGTCAGTAGTGGGAGAGAATGGAGCTCGAAGCTTCTCCTGACCATGTCTTCCTCTCCAGGATTCCTTCCAGCCCTAGAAAGTCTGTGACTAAAATCCTAAAATAGTAGAATTGTACAAGGAGGGAAGGGGTCTGGATTGGTAAATGATGCCCCTTTGGAACGCCTTCTTAAGCACCGTCTAGTTATATACAGCCAGGACTCAAGGGCATTAATGAGAGGTGTGAGAAAGTGAGGTGAAGGAGTTGTAGTCAGTCTCTTTCTTCAGAGGAAGTGCTTGTCATTTGGAGATTTAGAACATGTATGGTTTAGATTCTTTAGGAATACCCCTGAAAGTAGTGTCGTAGTCACAAATTTAAACTATACGTACACATGCCATACTTTGAGGGTTGTGTGTGTGTCAATGTCATGTAGTTAGTGAGCCTGGTGAACTTCCATTACCCACATTCTGGTATGGTCTTATGTGCTAGATTAGACTCAACAAGGACAGTTTTTATGAGAGCGCTTAGGCTTTTGTGCTATATGGACAGTTAGGGGTCTGTGGACACATCCCAAAAGATTGCAAGAGTTTTGTGTCCTGCTGACAATTTGAATTTAGTGGATGAGGATTAAGTGGCACCTAGTTTTTGCTTACCTTAATACAATATTAAATTTTATTAACTCTTGTGGAAAAGTGAATGCGTCATAATTGTATGATAGGGAAACACCCAGGGGCTTTGTCTCTCCATTCAAAAATTTGTCTTACATTTGTTTTTGCATTTTATCTTAGGCAAAAGTCAACAATTCTAGTTTAATTGGAGTGGGCTACACTCAGACTCTGAGGCCTGGTAAGTATTAAGGATTGTTCTGATAGTGGTTTCAAAATTAGTTTCATTTCTCAGCTTCTTTTTATTTATTTATTTTTTAAATGGAAACTTTTGAGTTTATGCTTCAAAAGGCAGTATTAAGAGAATGAAAAGACATACCATAGACTGAGAAAAATGTTTGCAAATCATACAAAGGACTTATACCCATAACATGTAAAGAACTCTTAAAACTCATTAATAACTATGACAAACAACCCAATCAAAAGATGGCAAAAGACTTGCAGAGACATTTATATGAAGACATACAAATAGCTAATTAGCACAGGAAAAGGTGCTCAGTGTCTATTAGTCATTAAGTAACTGTAAATTAAAACCACAATGAAATACCACTTCTACCCACTAGAATGGATATAATAAATCATTAGAAAATAACAAGTGTAGATGAAGATAGGGAGAAGTTAGAGCCCTCATACAGTGCTGGCATGCACATAAAATATTACAGCCACTTTAGAAAACAGACTGTTAGATTTTTTTTTAAATAGATCTTTCTTGGAGTATAATTTCTTCATAATACCATGTTAGTTTCTGTTGCACAACAAAGCGAATCAGCCATATGCATACATATCTCCCTATATCCCCTCCCTCTTGAGCCTCCCTCCCATCCTCCCTATCCCACCCCTCTAGGTCATCACAGAGCACTGAGCCGATCTCCCTGTGCTATGCTGCTGCTTCCCACCAGCCAACTATTTTACATTTGGTAGTGTATGTATGTTGAAACTTCTCTCACTTCGTCCCAGCTTCGCCCTTCCACCCCATGTCATCAAGTCCATTCTCTTATGTCTACCTCTTTATTCCTGCCCTGCAACCAGGTTCATCAGTACTATTTTTTCTTTTTTTTTAAGATTCCATATGTATGCTTTAGCATATGGTATTTGTTTTTCTCTTTCTGACTTACTTCACTCTGTATGACAGACTCTAGGTCCATCCACCTCACTGCAAATAACTCAATTTCGTTTCTTTTTATGACTGAGTAATATTCCATTGTATATATGTGCCACATCTTCTTCATCCATTCATCTGTCGATGGACATCTAGGTTGGTTCTATGTCCTGGCTATTGTAAATGGTGCTTGCAGTGAACATTGGGGTGCATGTGTCTGGTTTTCTCAGGGTATATGCCCAGTAGTGGGATTGCTGGGTCATATGGTAGTTCTATTTTTAGTTTTTTAAGGAACCTCCATACTGTCCTCCATAGTGGTTGTATCAATTTACATTCCCACCAACAGTGCAAGAGGGTTCCCTTCTCACCACACCCTTTCCAGCATTGATTGTTTCTAGCTTTTGATAATGGCCATTCTGACCAGCGTGAGGTGATACCTCATTGCAGTTTTGATTTGCATTTCTCTAATAATTAGTGGTGTTGAGCATCTTTTCATGTGCCTCTTGGCCATCTGTATGTCTTCCTTGGTGAAATGTCTATTTAGGCCTTCTGCTCATTTTTTTTTTTTTTTTGCCGTACGCGGGCCTCTCACTGTTGTGGCCTCTCCCGTTACGGAGCACAGGCTCCGGACACGCAGGCTCAGCGGCCATGGCTCACGGGCCCAGCTGCTCCATGGCATGTGGGATCTTCCCGGACTGGGGCACGAACCCGTGTCCCCTGCATCGGCAGGCGGGCTCTCAACCACTGTGCCACCAGGGAAGCCCTCTTCTGCTCACTTTTTAACTGGATTGTTTGTTTTTTTGATATTAAGCTCCATGAGCTGTTTGTATATTTTGAGGTTAATCCTTTGTTGTTTCAATTGCAGATATTTTCTCCCATTCTGAGGGTTGTCTTTTTGTCCTGTTTATGGTTTCCTTTGCTGCACAAAAAGTTTAATTAAGTCCCATTTGTTTCTTTTTGTTTTTATTTCTGTTACTCTAGGAGGTGGGTCAAAAAAGATCTTGCTGTGGTTTATGTCAAAGAGTGTTTTTCCTCTAAAAGTTTTATAGTGTCTGGTCTTACATTCAAGTCTTTAATCCATTTGGAGTTTATTTTTGTGTATGGTGTTAGGTAGTGTTCTAACTTCATTCTTTTACATGTAGCTGTCCAGTTTTCCCAGCACCACTTATTGAAGAGGCTGTCTTTTCTCCACTGTATGTTCTTGCCTCCTTTGTCATAAATTAGGTGTCAGTATGTGCGTGGGTTTATCTTTGGGCATTCTATCCTGTACCATTGATCTATATTTCTATTTTTGTGCCAGTACCATACTGTCTTGATTACTGTAGCTTTGTGGTATAGTTTGAAGTCAGGGAGCCTGATTCCTCCAACTCGTTTTTTTTTCTCAAGATTCAGCTTCTTCTTTTCCAAACCTTTCAAGCATACAGAAGAATTGACAGAAAGTACAGTGAACACATGTTTACCTTTTGCCACAGTTTTTTATTCCTTTCCTTTTTTTTTTTATGGTGGGCTGTTTGGAAGTTGCAGCTATCATGATATTTCCCTAAATGCTTCAGCATGCATCTCCTCAGAATAAGAACATTGTCCGGCATAACCACAATACTGTTATCACACCTGAGAAAGTTAACAGTGATTCCATATTATTACTTAATATCCATTCTCTATTTACTTTCCTCACTTGTACCTGAAATGTCTTGTAGTAATTTTTATTTCTCCAATCATAGTTCACTCATTGCTTTGGTTGTTTGGTCTCTATAGTCTCATTTACTTTACATAGTATTTTTGAGCCTTGCTGTGTTTTCTGGAGCAGTACTTCTCAAATACCAGTGTGTGCATGAATCACCTTGGGAATCTTATTAAAATACATAGGTCTGGGGCGAGGGGTTCTGACTTTCTAACAAGCTCTTAGGTGATGCCAGTGTTGCTGGTTCTTGAACCACCAGTTGAAGAGCAAGGCTCTAAAGCACTTGGAACTTTTTCCCCAGACTTTTTGACTGTTTTGAAACCTAAAGAAAAGAATGGTACCACGAACACTCATACCTTCCCCACGTTGACCAATTACTAACATTTATTTTGTTTTTATTATCTCTCCATGTCTCTATACATAATCCTTCTTTTCTTTTTTCCCCACATATCCTTATGAATTATTTAAATACGTTTTCCAAACACATAGACACATCAGCCCTAGCATACATATCATGAGAGTAAGACATTTTTAACTGCATCATTATAAAGACATCATAACTATAATACTGTTTTCACAGCTAAGGGAATTAACAGTTTGAAATAATACCTAATATATAGTATATATTTGGATTTCTGCACTTGTCCCAAAAGTGTCTCTTAATTGTAGCTTTTCCTTTCCAGGATCCAATTATGGTTGTCATTTAGTCTGGATAGTGTATTGAACATGATTGTATTTTCCAGAGCTGTTTGAGCTTTATTATGAAGTTCTTATGCTCTGGGACTTGATGCCTTCCTTACTGTGGATGTGCCAATGAATTGTCTGGTGTCTCAGATACTTCCAAGCGCCCTCTGGTGGCTGGCACTAGTAGGTCATCTGACAAGCTGAGGAAAAGTGACAGGTTGTGGCGTGACTGCAGACTCCCATGAGGTGTTTCAGGCACTTGATAGTTGTCTGCTTTTGTTTACAGGTGTGAAGCTTACACTGTCTGCTCTGGTAGATGGGAAGAGCATTAATGCTGGAGGCCACAAACTTGGGCTTGCCCTGGAGCTGGAGGCTTAATCCAGCTGAAAGAAACCTCTGGGAATGGACATCAGAAGATTTGGCCTTAATATATTTCCAGTGTGACCAGCAGGCTCCCCCCCCCCCCCAAGAAGGTGATCAGAACAAAGGATGATCTAAACAAGAGCTGTATTTTAAATATTTAGGCAGTTACTTGTTAGCTGGTTTCTAGTTGAATTGGTTATCTATCTAGTTACCAATGCTGCAGTCGTGCAGTCACCTATACATTATTTAAATGTATTTAACTGTTAAATGCGCTACCCACCAATAATGAAATAGACCTTTATGAAAACTGTGCAATTGTGTGCATGTTTGTTTTTATGTTTCTTTTAACATTGAATATTGCCATTGAATGAGATGGATCAGTGGATGTTTTAAGATGAGGTTAAAATTTTTTGTTAATTTCAACCATCATTAGAATTACTTTTGGTATCCCAAAACATTACAAATTATGAATAAAACAAGTATACATAATTAATGACTCTTAAGTATTTGCAGAGTTAAAAACTTGGCAGCTAGGGTCAAATCTTCCTTGTTTCTAGCTAGTACTTTATTTTTCCAGTGAGCATTTATTTTGCTCTTTTCATGAATCTGTGCCACAGAGTCCTCTGACCCGAGAGTAACTCCATGAGATTTTTAGACTACAATAAAGTAAGAAGATATATGCCTTCATATCTTCAGTTTGTAAATTTGAAAAATTACATTGGATCATCGTGAACTCCAGGAAGAGTTAGCAAGTGATGAAAAAAGAGAAATGAAGGGATGGTGCTGAAGGTTGTATACACCCACCACACCCCTTTGGGTTATTGCTTTGGAAATGATCCAGGCCCTAGTTAGGTAGGATGGGATGAGGTGTAAGGAAAGGGAGTAAGGCGTAGACAGTGTCAATACCCAGAGGGTCTGTAGAATGGAAGTGTATGGGCCTCAGTGAGAGGTCGTTACTTGTTTCTTTTCAGGCAGGCACTGAGAAGCTTGGGCCTAAGTTTGTGACCGGAGTGCCTTCAGGCTATGTGGCCATTGGCCTTAATCTGGACTTGAGCTGAATGATAGAAATTAATAGATGATTTGGTTGGAAAAGTAGGAAAGAGGAATTTTGATGGGAGAAGTGTTAGAAAGATACCATCAAAGGTTAGAGAAGAGTTTTGTTGAACAAATTCATAATACTAGATCTGTGGTATAGTTTGAAGTCAGAGAGAACAGATAAGAAAATGTAGTACTTACTCATTACCCAAAAAGTGATACATGCTGAAAATTTCCAGGTCAAGAAGAATCTGATGAGAGATTAGCAACCCAAACAAGCTTTCCATACAGGTGGGATGGGGGGCACAAAGGCCCCTTCTGATCTGTTTGTCCTAAGGGACTGGCTGGAATGGCCCATGGAATAAGACACATAACTTAATGGCAGTAAGTTGGAATTTGAACCAGTTTGTTTGAATCAGGCAGGACCTATTGCTAGGTAAGAAGAAAAACAGGAAAGGGTGTCTGCAAGCTAGGTATGAAAGCGGCTCTTGTGTTTTCAGGATACTTAAGAGTAAAATGGACCTATTCACCCATGTGCTTCTTATATACTTTTATAAGTAGGAGAGAGAAGGATAGTTTACAGCCAGGTTCCTGAGGGTTGTCTGAAATGCAAGTATATATCCCAAATACTGTAGGGTTATGAAAGTTGCCAGCTGTGGGGTCATGGGGCTCCTGTGGCCTTGATATGTTAGAAATTAATAGATGATTAATTTATTAATCAGCAGCCTCCAGGTTCAGTGCCACCACCCAGGCCTAACGGATGGTGGCAAAACCTAGTTCTAGGCTGATGCCATTTCTGTCTGAGGCCTGAGGCAGTGTTGGTGGAAAGGACACTTCATATCTGAGCCTGATCTTCATTTGTGGTGTGGAGATAAGATCTTCCTATGGATTGTGGAGGTTTAAACCACAGAGTGAAGCACCTGGCTCCCTCTCCACCTGGGCTCATAGGCTCATAGATGTTTGTGTTGGAAAGCTTAACTTTCTCTTCATCTTCCTCTGGGGAACTTGTTAAAAATAGCCTCCTACCTATTGGCCTGTCTGCTTCACACCTCTGGCCAGTGATCCCACTCAGTGTCTCATGTTCTTCAAAGACTTCATGGGGAGGAGAGGATACATACTCCAGTCAACCTTGAGGTCCTCAGGTCTAAGTCAAGCGGCCTGGTCTCAGGTGATGTTGACCAGGGCCTCCACTGCAGAGGTGAGGCCAAGCTGACAGTTCTGTGACAACTGGGCAAACGGCCAGCAGAATTGGCGTAACCTACAACACTTACACGGAGCAAGGCCCTTTTCCTGCCATCAGATCCCAGATTGGTCTCCACTGGTTCCAGCTGCACTGAACAGGAACTTCATTCATTTGCCCCTCTTAGGAAGAGGTGTCAGAGGGAGACCACAGGGGCTCTACCAGGTTTCCAGCCCTCAGATCCTGTGGAGGCAAATCTCCACAGGGAGCTGGGGTTTCTGACCAACTGCATGTGGGCAGGTCAATTAAAACTTTTTTTTTTTTTTTTGCGGTACGCGGGCCTCTCACTGTTGTGGCCTCTCCCGTTGCGGAGCACAGGCTCCGGACGCGCAGGCTCAGCGGCCATGGCTCACGGGCCCAGCCGCTCCGTGGCATGTGGGACCTTCCCGGACTGGGGCACGAACCCGGGTCCCCTGCATTGGCAGGCGGACTCTCAACCACTGCGCCACCAGGGAAGCCCCAATTAAAACTTTTGATAATCCTGCTTCCAGTCAGCTGGAAGCTCCTGTGGTCAGGCTACAGCCCTGGTGCCAGAGTGTCCTCAGGAGTGTGCCAGGGAGGGGATGAACATCTGTGGCCTCAAGGCTCCCTTTTGTTGAAGGGAGCCAGTGCGGGGCCTTCACTCCCTACCCCACTTCAGCACATACGGAGGCTCAGAAGATCGTCGTGTCCCAGGCCTCACTTTATTGTCAGATTTAAAACTCGGTGTCAATGGCTGGGGGTCCCAGGGCCCCTCCCTTGAGGCCCCTCGGTAGGGGCCAGCCCTAGATCTTGAAGGCTAAGGTGAGGCCGTCGCCCAGGGGCAGGAGGCTGATGTGGACCCTGGCGTCCCGCAGAATGCGCTCATTCAGGTTTCGCACACACTGGGCCGCCTTGTCCTGCGGTTTAGGCTGCAACACCTCTCCACGCCACAGGACCTGCGGAGGGGCGGGGCATCCTGGGGGCGGGGCCTGGGGGGTGCCTGAGCAGGAGGCGGGGTGAGAGCTGGAGACCCAGGACCTGAGCAGGGGAAAGTGGAAAACCTGGGGACTCAGTTCGAATACCTGGGGGCAGGAGCTTACGTGATTGTACTAGGCGGGGCTCTGGGGCAGGGGGGCGAGGAGGAGCCCAAGGAAAAGACGGACCCAGCTCAAGAGGGTCTTTCTTCTCTCCCGGGGCTGTCCCTTACACTGAGCACAGCGAGGACGCCTCCGGGTCGCAGCAGCTGCAGGCACCGCTCGTAGTAGGCGGTGCAGTTCTCCTTGTCCGCATCCACCACGGCCAAGTCGAAGGTGCCGGCCTCGCCCGCTGCCAGGAGCTCATCTTGCGGGGGAGGGAGGGGCAGATGCAGCTGAGTCCGCAGGCCCCAGCGGCCGGAAGACCCCGCCCAGGCCGGCCCAGGCGCTGTGACCATTCAGGTACTTGAGGGCCCCGGCCTGCCACTCTGCATGTGGCTGCGTACCGGGTGGCGGGGGGGGTGGGGGCTGTCATTGCCTAAGCCCGCCCGTTGGACCGGGTCACTACCTCGCGCCGGGTGGTCCCATTTGGGAAATGGCGCCAAGGCCCTTTCCGCTCCGTTGCTCACCCAGGGTCTCCAGAGCGGGTTTCAACCGAAGTTCGATCTTGTGCTCCACTTCGGCCTGCGTGCGAGAGGAGCGGGGTCAGAGTCAGCATGTCCTTTCTCCCGGAGCTGGGAGTGGCCGGGCTCCAGGGGCCCAACGAGGGCCTCAGGTGTGTGGGGCACTCACCTGCCTCCACAGGGGACGTCCCAGCTCCGGGGGCCCTGCGTCCACCTCGCAGGTCACCACGCGCCCGGCCGGGGGCAGCGCTAGGGCCAACGCTAGGGCCGAGTAGCCTGTGAAAGTGCCTGAGGACGTGGACACGGACAGGCTCAGGCCAGAGTGGGGCGACGGCCCGGTGACTCCGGCCCCCAGTGACCCCAGCCGCGTGCCCTACCAAGGTCCAGTGCCTTCTTAGCCTTGATGAGGCGAGCCAGGTTGGCCAAGAGCTGGGCCTGCTCACAGGTCATCATGGAATCCCCCTGCGGCTGCTCCAAGGTCAGCTGCTTGCGGGGAGGAGAGGGTCGCACTAGCCCTGCCAGTCACCCAGCTGAGCCCCAGGTTTAGAGCCCCCAGAGGCGTGGCTGTGGGCGTGGCCCAGGGGCGGACCTTCATGGAACGCCCAACCATGCCCGGCCTGCGCGGACGGTGGCCACCGACCAGCCCAAGGTCACGCAGCCACGTGGGTCCCTCCCGGCCCGAGGTGGGCGCCCGTTCCCGCTTCCGGCCCTGCTGACCAGCCGCAGGCTCCGCAGCGCCGGGTGCTCCCGCATGGAGCGGCTCAGCACATACTGCCACAGGGGGCTGTCCTCAGGGGGCAGCAGGCGCTTCTCTCGCCGGGATCGCCATGGAGGGAACCATCTCCCTGCCGGGGAGGGGTGGTGCTGGGTCAGGGCCTGGGGCTCCAGGGCGCCAGGGGTGAGCCTCAGCCGCAGCCAGCCTCGCGGGTTCACGGGCTCTGCTCCTGCGTCCGCCCGCCCGCGGGGCCTCTGCCGAGGGTGCCGAAGGCCCGGCCCTACTCACCCAGGAAGAGGCCGCTGGCGAAGGCAGCGGCCAGCGCGGCCGAGCCTAGGGCCAGCGCGGCGGGCACAGAGAGCCGGGGCACGGGCTGGGTCATGGTTCGGGCAGGAGGCAGCGGCGTCCAGGTCACTTGCGCTAGGGCTACTGGGACCGCCCTGGGACCCGCGGGCCCTCGCGGCTCCAACTTGCCCGGGCAGTGCCCTCGGAGCCGCGGCCTCGACCACCATCTGGCGGCCTCATGGCCTTACTGCAAGCCCCGCCCAAGCGGGTCAGTCGTCATCTAGTGGCCGCTTTCGGAACTGTGCCGGCGGCTATGCTGCTTCCTCATCGCTACCATTTTTGCTGAGAACCCCCAGGGGCATATGTGGGTGGGCGAGTAGAACGTCGGTATAACAGGATACTAACAGGTACAAATGATAGAAATTAAAGGAACCCTGGGAGGGACCGAGAGGATCGGGGGGGCCTCTTGGGGGAGGTCACCAAGGATGTCAAGTTGAAGGAATGTATGTTTGGGGGAGTTGGGGTTTGGGAGCCCTGGGTCAGATCTGGTTGATGGGGTGCTGAGACAACACCTTTAGTTAGAATCATGCTCTTGGGTACCCAGCTAGGCTTGGGTGTGAGATCTTGGGCCCATCAGTCTGAGCCTCAGTTTCCTT